AAAGTTATTTATTAAAAACTCTATTCTGTAATAGCTACAGTTTTCAAAACAACTTCGGAACTTACCCTAAACTTTTAGTTACTATAGCACATTCCTGAAATCTACCAATGCACGGCTAAATGAAGGTAATAAAGCCCAGGTGACTAATAAAAGACACTTTGTGTCATAGGATTGATTGGCTTTGAGCCCTATGTCTCAACTTTATTCTAAAGTATGCCTCAACCCTTGAGAACATTGCAGAAGAAACTGCGGAGGTCTTCAGAGGGAGTCAGAGAAAATTGTCCCTGTTTTCTAGCACGTTCATCTCTACTACCTGCAGGTTTCAATCTATAAATCATTCCGTTTCTCAGATTTGAACACAGAATTTTATTGCCTTTTCCTTGACTGCCTTGCTATTTGTCACTGTGACAGGTTCTTGACTTCTGAAAATGCTTGGTATCATTTACGTGGGTTTGTGATCCAATATATAAGAGGAAATAGTTGGAAATGAAGAGCAATTGTCTCTCTAGTACTTTGCTGGACGAATAGGCAGCTTTACCATGTATGATCAGATTCAAAGTTTTGTCGATGACATGTAACAATGTAACTTCACTTTTTGCTACTGGAATGTACAGATAGTGGACAAACTGATTCAATGAAAAGAAAAAAAAACACCCTTTATTGCTGTTTCCTTATGTAGTGACCCATAGAAATGGATCCATATAAAAAATAAGAATTGCTTAGATCAATTTATATAGAGCAGCATACTATACAAACAACATAGGATTTGTTGGGTGAAGCATTCTGCTGTGATGGACTACTGTAGTTTTCAATATAGAATGAAGTCTTATATTTGTGTTTGTGTTATATTGAAAATGCATGCTTCCTCATTTTCCTTTCTTCCCTTGAATACTACTATTATTAAAAAAGAAAGCACATGTCTTTAATCAGATTAAATGCAAAACAAAGACATTTGTGAATATGGTAATTTGGAATCCACAATGCAGTTTATTGCAATATTGTTCCCCTTGATAGGATATTCTACATTATTCCATTCACTTTCCTAATTGGTGTTCTGTTTTCACCCTCCGTTACTTAATCACACAGTATTCTCATTCAGCTGTTCAGTATGCAGTGAGTCCTTGGCTTACAACCAATCACTTACTGACTGTTCAAAATTAGAAGGCACTGAAAAAAGTGACTTGTGACCAGTGGTGAGATTCAAATATGTGAACAACCGGTTCTCTGTGTGGATACCACTTCCGGAAGTCCATTCTGGGCCTGGGCAACAAAAAATTAGCTATCGGTTCTGTCGAAGTGATGTGAACCGGCTGAATCCCACCACTGCTTGTGACTGTTTTTCACATTTATGACCATTGCAGAATCCCCGAGGTCATGTGTTCATAATTTGGGCACTTGGCAACTGGCATGTATTTTCCAAAGCGCCTGAAGGCAGGACAAGAAGCAACGGGTGGAAACTAATCAAGGAGAGAAGCAACCTAGAACTAAGGAGAAACTTCCTGACAGTGAGAACAATTAACCAGTGGAACAACCTGCCTCCAAAAGCGGTGAATGTTCCAACACTGGAAGTTTTTAAGAAGAGACTGGACAGCCATTTGTCCAAAATGGTATAGGGTTTCCTGCCTGAGCAGGGGATTGGACTAGATGAACTCCAAGGTCCCTTCCAACTTTACTACTACTACTACTACTACTACTACTACTACTACTACTACTACTACTACTATTATTATTTATGACAGTTGCGTTGCATTGCATTGTCCCAGGTTCATGTGATCACTATTTGTAACCTTCCCAGCTGGCTTCCGACAATGTGGGGAAGCCAGGTCTGCATGATTCACTTAACAACTGCAATGATCCACTTAACAACTTTGGCAAAATTGGAGCAAAGCTCAACGTAAATTTTGGGTTCAATTGTGGTCGCAAGTTGAGAACTACCTGTACAGCAAAGGATGGGAAAACTCCTTAGTTCTACAGATTTGGGGGGGAGGTGTTATCATAACATCTAAGCCACTAAATACCTCAGTCCAATTTGAACTACAGCTGATATTTTGTAATGTGATATATTATTAATGTTTTTGCTCTTCTGCAAAACATACTCTTTTCTAGTTTATCAGCAAATCTTTTAAGAAAGCAATGAGAAGAAGGCATATGAAGGGAGCTCCATCCAATAGGGTTCATTATTGGCTGTGTTGAGAGCTTCTACTCAAGGCAATAGGACTAATCAATTAAAATATAAACTCCCCATCAGATCTCTGATTCTTCCAAAGGATGAAAAATAGGGGAGGGAGAGAATTTGATGCACTGAAAGAAAGAAAAAATCCAGGATGGATGTCCAATTAACATGGGAACAGAATGTTAAAAAGGCTCTATTTTGAAACCAAATGATTACTTATTTCCCTTGTGCTTATCCGTTATATGTTGCTCTGTATCTTATTCCTGTATAGTTCATTCTTCTGACCTTTATTGAGAAATGTGTAAAAAAAAACCTACTGCATTGTTGTCTCATATTTTCCTGCTTGGTTAAAAAAAACCAAACACCTAAATTAGTATATTGAAGATCATGTTTAGGAGAAAAGAGTAAACCCTGATTCTGAGCCGTGGTGGTGCAGTAGTTAGAGTGCAGTAGTGCAAGCTAATTCTGTTGATTGCCAGCAGTTTAATCCTGACCAGCTCAAGATTGATTCAGTCTTGCAGCCTTCCGAGGTCGGTAAAATGAGGACCTAGATTATTGGTGGCAATAGGCTGACTCTGCAAACCACTTAGACAGAGTAGTAAAGCACTATGAATTGGTATATAAGTCTAACTGCTATTGTTATAGCTAGAAGGGATAATTATAGATAGATAAGGGTGTGTGTGTGTGTGTGTGTGTGTGTGTGTGTGTATCCTATTCCTCTTTATAAAATACAGTTAGAAGCAGATTCTCTGAAAGACTTTCTTTTAAAAAAAATTGAAAGACAATTAGTCCCTGTATTATGTTTATTCAGCAGACTCAGAAAATGGTCCATGGATAGGGTGATAGCATATGATGTAACCAGCCTAGTCTTTTTCTTTGTAAACTTCTTGGTTGAATTACTGACTGTCTGAGGTAAGAAAGACAAGCAGAGGATGAGAGGATAAATCTGTCTGTCATCTTGATGAATGCTGATCAGACTGTTAGCAAGGACAGTAATTAACAGGGGAGGAAAAGCTTGTCATTATCCTAAGGGTGAGTAATTATTTTTGACAGGTGATAATTAATGGTCTGGCAAAGTCAGCAAAAAATCATCCTTCAGTCTTGGGAAAACTGGGGAGCTACTGGAAACATTTTCTATGTTCTTTTCTTAAACATCCTTTAGGGTTTTTAAGGTTCATGAAGAAATGGTATTTGTATATGTGTATACTTTGGAGATTATTTCTACCAAAGCTTTGTACATCTTTAATTTGTCAACTTCTTTGGGAAAAGAAAGAAGGCTCTTGTTTTTAATGCTTAACAACCATGCGTCTATCATTTGGCTGCTGCCAGTGATAGATTGAACAAACTGTAAAATATGTTCCTTCCACTTTACTCAGAAAACTCCTGACTGATAAAAAATAATATGGTAAAACAACATATGGGAAGAGTTCACTTCTATAAGATGGGTAGCATGAGGTTTAATAAATAAATAAAATAAGAAACACACAGTTGCCACCATTGCAAGCCTTTGGAGCAGGGAACCAAATCACCATTTTGCATAATGAATGGAATGGCCTACTGACTGCCCCTCAGGCAGAGGGAGAATGGAAGTGGGCCCCAATTTGAAAATTGTATTTTAGAAGATCACAAAAATGGCCTTGTTGAATTAGCCTGGCCTCATCCACCCTTATGGCTGTGCAGATTCACTAGGATGGCTTATACATGACAGCCCTTTTCCTATTCTCTCAGGACACTCTTTTCCTCAATAGGATGTTGCCTGGTGACCATGAATTTTTACAAACTCTCAATAAATAATTCTTGATACATGATTTTATGGTGTGTTTTTTTAAAATTCTTGCTGTGAACTGTTAGCAAATCTTGCATCAGGGCCTTCATAATTAAGTACTCTGCGAACTAGTCTGGGAGCTTCATTGTTGGAATGATGTTAAGTTTTGTTTTTGTCTTCCCTATGCAATGATATGTGGCTTTGTGTTCAAGGATCACATTCCATCTGGGTTCCTATAATATGCTAAGCAGAAAAAACAAATTAGCAAACGTAACTGTATATTTGTTCATTCATTCATTCATCATATTCACCCATCTCACCTAAGTGACTCTCTTCACAGAGCATGTGGAGATATATCATTATTGTTTACAAGCTTGTGGAGATAATATGGCTGAGATATAAGTTCATGTGTGTGTATGAGCGAAGCCCAATTTGGTGTAAAGATTAAGGTGCTAGATTATAAACTGAGAGACTATTGATTTCTAGCCCTTTATGCATGAAAGTTGGATGGGTGACTTTGGACCAGTCACTCAGCCCAACTCACCTCACAAGGAAAACAAAGTAGACAGCAAAATATATTCTCCCCTAAGTTTTATTAAATAAAGATGGGATATAAGTTTAACAACCATTATCACCAAAACAATAATAATGCTAAGCCCAAATAAATTCAGTGGCCAGAGTCACATAATATGTTAAAACAATCTCCACAAATAGAGTAGCATAGTCTACTGTGTTGTGTGAACCCTGCCTCTGAGTCAAATGGCTTTGAGGAACCCCTTGTTGAATATAACTACATATATTCACTTGAATTGAAACAGGGATATCATTTAACAATCATTTAATTCTAATGGTGAAATTGAGATGGAGCTAGGAGAAGGCATTTTATAGATATTGACTACAGAAGATATGACAGCAACAGCTCAGCTAGAAGAATAAGCCTTTTCCCTTGTTGGAAGCAACAGCTGTCACATCTGAAAATTACTTATCACTTATGTATGGTTTATGTTATGTTTTCTCTTTCTCTTTCTCTCTCTCTCTCTCTCTCTCTCTCTCTCTCTTCAGGAGCTGACATAGTACAGTGGCTTATGAAGAATCTCAGTATTGAAGATCTAGGTAATCTGTTCATTAAATTATAAGGAAGCATTATCTTGAGGCTTGTCATTATAAAATGCAATAGTAAATGTTGTGATCTAAAGCTGAAAAATCAAAATTTTATTTGGAAGTTTTGATTGAGAAAGTGATTCCAAGTCAAATCTTGATCTTGAAATGGTAAGTTAGATTCCAGAATACATTCTTCTGGAATGTTCTTCTTTATTCTAGACAGGAAAGCTAATCAGGAAATAGACTACATAAAAATATATAGAAAATTTTTTTCTCAATATAGAGAAAAAGTTTTCAGAATGCTACAACAACAACAAATTAAAAAGAATCTTAAAAAACAGAAATTACTGGTGATAATCTCTCAGATTCAGAAAATGATAGTGTATAGGCAGCATAGCAAAACATGTTGACCCTTGGTGTTTCCTAATTTTTTCTAGCTTTTTTTTTCTCCCCTGAAAGGTATAGCTTTCTATATAAGTTTGATATATTGTATATTGAGGTATTGCAGGCCCAATTGGCAAAAGAAAGCTCAAGATTGTATTGGTTGGAAACAGGCAGAAGAGGCCTTCATCCTGCAGTGGATAGACAATGGCTAAAATGAAGATGATATGCTTGATATAACAGAGCCCAAAATTCAGACTACATCACTATCATTGTTTTATTAAAAGTTTTATGGTTTCTTTTGCTTCGAGCAGGTAATCATGGTGGCCCATTCCTTCCAGTCAGGCAGGGAAGATATGTTGAGGACCTGTCAGTTAACCCTGTCAGTTAAAGAATTCTGACTGGTGGACTTGGGGAAGGAAGAGGAGAAGATCTTCTCTGCCATTGTCCCACACTGTGGAATTACTCCCCCCCTCCACCTGAGGTGAAGCAGGGCCCACACCCTCCTGGCCTTCCATAAAGAAGTGAAAACATGACTGCAGCCTTGCATAGGGAGCCCATAAGAAGTATGCAGCCATGGAGCTGAAAGCCCTCCCTATCCCTTTTAACAATTATTAAAATTATTACAATGTTAATATTTATCCATTCATTCATTCAAATTATATGTTGCCCATCTCACCTGGAGGCAATTCTAATAATGTTTTAATCATCCTTGTATCTTTTTAAATTTTTATCTTTTATATACTGTTTTTATATTTTAATATTTCCATAAGACCTGAATATACAGTATGCATTAATACCACTACCACGAGAAGTCTCTCACCTTGTAATCCAGAATGATAAATGTACAGGTGAGATTCAGTTGGATTGCAGAATTAAGGGCCTGAGTGCCTGGACTCTATTAAGTTTCCAGATGGGCCAGATTTTGCTCTGTCTCATTCACCTGCAACAAATGGAGTCATTTGGCTTCCTAAGTAGTCTCTTGTGTGTCCAGACATGTGAACATTATAGCATCCGTTGGACAGAAATTGCTATTTACCTTTGCAGAGATAGACAAATGTTACCTTTTAAACTGCATCATTGCTCTACTTTGTTATTTCTGGTATAAAAGGTCTTTCCACTAGAAATATATCATCCAGATATTAATTCCCTTTTGTTTGACAGCCTGGAATCAGTTATGGGTGGCCAGATGTTATTTAAGTAAATAAAACATACTGTACCTGTGATGATTAACTGTTAATCCACCTCCAGCACAGGGCCCAAAGCTGAATAAAGAGGTTGCACTTCCATTTTGCTGAATTTACCACTGATATCATCATATCTAGTCAGAAAATTCCTGCCACCCAAGTTTGGCAAGTTGTCTACTGAAAAGCATAATTGTCTGACAGAGTTTGTGTCTGTTCGTTTGTTTGTTTTACAGCTGAATCAATACATATGGGAAGTCTCATTGCAGCACAAGGATATATTTTTCCAATTTCCGATCACGTGCTGACTTTAAAGGATGATGGGACTTTTTATCGGTTTCAAGTAAGAAATCTGTTTTCTTTACTTGAATTACAGACTGGATAGGTATGTCTTTCCTTGCTGAAGTCCTCTAATTTCCATTTTTTATGGAGGAACAAATCTAGAATAAAACACCCTACCTACCTTATCCTAACTTTTGTCTGAATTCTTCAAGTTGTTCAACATCACCATAGAACTGTTTGTCTTTTAACGTAACAGATCTACTTTGCTCCAGATAGTAAGAGCTTTGTATATTTTGTTAACCTTTGGGGTATTAGTCCTGTTAATGTATTTTTTTTATCCTTTTTTAAATTGGAGATGCTGAGAATCGAACCTCAGACTTTCTCAAAGACAAGTATATGTTTTATTGATTTATTAAAATTATTTTACAGTATTTTATTTATCACTGATAATTGCTGCTTGTCTCCTTATATTCCAAACCAGGCTTAATTCCTTTTCCTGCACTGTTCATATAACGTCTGACATCTCCAAAGCGTGGCAAGAGATTGCTTGTCAGTTTTGTTGTAATTATCAGATCAGTATCAATGTTATTATTAAGTTAATCACTCACTTTCAGTTCTTCATAACACAATGGATATAATTTCTTCAGGATTGCCTGTCAATAGCTGCATCTTTGAATTTTGACAAATGTATGCTTTTTATCTTTAGTAACAGAAGGCAACCATCTACTTTTCTAGGGATGTCAACCACTAGATAACAGCAAGAGACACAGAATAAATTGCCCAAGTTTTTGCTGCCATCTAATATTCATTTAAATTTCTTCTTAATCTAGATCAGGGGTGTCAAACTGCTGGCCCACAGGCTGGATGCGTCATGCGGAAGCCGCCCCCACCCATGCGGGAGCTGTGACCACCCCAGCTCTGGCAAGGGGAAAAAAGTTGCGCTACATTGTGTCACATGACACGCGAGTTTGACACCCCTGATCTAGATAATGTCATTTTTTTTAGTTATGACTGCATATACCTCCCTCTCTTCCTCTCTTCCTAGCATGGTTAAATATGGGGGCAGTAATGGTGATACAGTTCCAAGGAATATTAATATCCTAACATTCTAATGCATACAGAATATTTTTTCAGAAGAAAGATGACAGCTTTATATATATGTGTTAGGGAGGGAAGAAACATATATCCTCCCTAACACAGCTGGCAAAAGTGAGAAAGAGCCTGTGGTCTAGAGGTTAAATACAGCTGCCTAACATGCAGACAGCCCAGGTTCGAATCTCAGAAGGGTATGTCTGGTTGAAAAGAACTAAAGAGTTCGAAATAGCTTTTTTTAATCCAATAGCCACCTCCAGAATGGTGCACCCCAACTGACAGATCCAGGTCTTCAGGCCCTTATGGAAGGTCAAGTAGAGTGTGTACAGATCCCACTTTGTTCCAAAGGGCAGGAGCTATGCCAGAAAAGGCTCTTCTCCTGGACCTCAGCAGCCAAAATGCTTTGACTGGCAGGGCCTGCAGGATGTCCCTTCTGCCAGCATGGGTGGGGCAGGTCAAGCCCATTGAGATAGCTCTTCAGATAACCTGGACCCATGCCATGAAGGGCTTTAAATAACCAACACCTTGAATTGTACCCGGAAGCAAATCAGCAGCCAGTGCAGCTCGTGGTACAGTGGTATAACATGGGCCACCCTAGGGGCCCCATGAATTGAATCTATTTGCCATTCTTTCTCTAGGAAATGAATGAAGAAATAAATCTTTTTTAAAGTGTTATTATGGCTTGTGAAAAAAAACTATCACATGGGAAATCAGGAGATTTCTACGTCTTTCCGTGATGGGCTTCTTAATTCATCATAGAAGCTCAAACTGTAGCACTTTTTTTCAAACTTGCCTTTTTCTAATTTGCATTTCAGCTGGTAGAAAAATTTGATGTGATTTGTAAATTGGACTTATATGCATAGGATTGCAATCATACTGATCCTAACAAGGAGGATGTTTTGGTGTAATCTCTTGTTCTCTGGTATTGCATGCATATAGGCAATCACACCTATACAAAATTATTTTGATTTTCTTTATTTCAAAAAATATGCCTTAAAATAATTAAGAAGAATTTCTTTATTTCATTGAAACTTAAGCTGCCTAAATATCTGAAGGAGTAAAGATGTTTGAATACCTAGATATTCATGATAAAGTATTATTTTCTGTTTTTCAGGCTCCATATTTCTGGCCATCAAATTGTTGGGAACCAGAAAACACGGACTATGGTGAGACTCATTTTGAAATGCCTCTTGTATAAACCCCTTATCTCTGATAATCATTTTACTCTAAAAGAAATTATAGAATAATATCATTATAGAGTATTATGCTGACTCATAATCCAAGGAGTTGTAATATCAACTACATATTGGAGAATGCTACTATATTTGGTTTCATGATGTGAAAGTCAATAGTTGCCAGTATTTACATAGATGGTGAGCAGGAATAATGCAAGCAAAATACCCTAGCACAGCGGCCCCCAATCTTTTGGGCACCATGGACCGTTCCCGTGGAGACAGGTTTTTCTGCGGTCGAGAGGGGGCATGGTTTTGTGTACTGCTTGCATCCCACAGATGGGGCTTCGCTTGTTTGTATGGCCCTGTTTTTGGCATGCCACGGCCCAGTGCCAGTCCATGGACTGGTGGTTGGGGACCCCTGCCCTAGCAGAACATATAAAAGGATTTTCTTTGAAGCTGCAATTCACTCCCTTTCCCTCCATTTTTAAACAACAGCCTGCTTGATTTGAAGAAGAGAAGGCCTTATTATATGTTGGACATGAGCTGACTGACAGCTGAGCACTGCGAGTATTTGCCATCCACCTACTGGCTGATGGCTGAGAGGGCTGCACTTAAGGGGGTTTTATCACTCATTTAGTGATAATCCTTTTTATTGGGGGTGCATATCGTCTAAAAAATCTTAATTGCCACTCCTGGCCAACAATAATTTGCCCATCCCTGGTCTATGGGCCAGGTTTTCCACCCCAATTTTATTTTATTCTGAACTGCATGGAAATAACTTAAGTAAAGAGTTTAATAATTTGTTACTAGTCTATTACAATTATTTAAAAAGCGCAGCACTGTCTAGGACAGTTACATAAATGTAGCATTGAACAGAGACCCTGTTCTGTTCATTTAAGTCAGTTGGTCTGAATGCTGTCCCTCCTTACAGACAAGGACTACATTATTCAACAGAGGAAGCACTGTCCAAGATTATTGCTGTATAACAACATTAATCTTATGCCTAAGAAAAAGTTAGGTTCAATTCCATGGATGAATTTAATTTGTTTTAAAATAAATGGTAATATATATACGTGGTTGATCAATAAACTATTATGTGACCCAAACTAGTAATCTCTATATAACAATAAATGAAAATGCCACTTCCCTGAGACAGAAAGAGGGAGAAAGAGAGGAATTAGAACGGGCGATAGGTTTTTGTTTTTTTTAGTAGAGGCTGAGGTCTGACAGAAAGAAATAACCATGTTTTATGAGCTAATAAACCAGAGATTTTGTATTAAATGGCTAAGTGACTTAGTACTAAAGCATAAACTCTGTCAGCACAGTTACCTTTAGCTGTTATTGTGTACCATTGGTGTCTCTTCTACAGCTCTCCTCTCGTACAGAAATGATAAAATCATTTCTTTTTCATTCAGCCTGGTCCTTGGCAAAGGAAATCAAATGTACCTATATTCATAATATGAGAGGTTTGGGAAGTGTTTCTTCTACAGGCATTCCTCAACTTACAACCAGTTGCTTGGCGTCCATTCAAAATTATCATAGACCTATCTGGGGGGGGGGATACTTATGACCCAGATTTGAACACATTTTGCATTTGGTGTATTCTATTTTTCATAGAACAAATGACCAGGCTCAAAATTATTGTTTATGGGATACATTAATGCAAAAACCTAGCTAAGAAAAGAGAAGAGGATGACCAGCAGCAAGGTGAATGGACCTGATTACAGCAGCGATGGGTATATTCTATCACTGTTGGAAGGTCTGAAGAACAGGTTGGAGAAAGTATCCTAGAGAAAGTCTGTCTGTGTCTATGCCAGCCATGTTGGCTGAGGAATTCTGGGAGATGGGAAATGATCTGCACATCTTAAAGTGGCCAAGGTTGAGAAACACTGATCTATGCGATCACTAAGAATTGATGTTCCATATTTACTTCTGAGTAGCCATGGGGAAAAAAAGGCTTTTGCACAACTTCATATTGTGTGCTAATTATGTACTCTTTCCTGGTCTGGAAGGCAATTCACATGGTCACTTATGGAACCACCGCTGGCCAGGCTGCACGTCTGGGACTTGCAGTTTCCTTCTGACTTCCCCATTGATTTGGCTTATTGGAAGTCAGCAGTAAGTTGTGAGGAGGTCTTTGCTTAATGACCTGTGGGTCTCACTTAATGGCGCTAATGGCAATAGGGACTGCTAGGATTCCTGTTGCTAAGCAATGGGGTTATTTGATATTGCGCTTTACAGTCGCATAATTTTGGTAATTGGAGCTAGAATTTCCATTCCTTAGTTAACTGCATTATGAATGTATCAAATTGAAGAAAATTTGATTGAAACCTAAAGTAGCCTCTTTAATTAAAGAAAGGTGCAGTTTTCTCAATGTTGCATCTACATGTATGAGAATGCCATTGTCTTAGCAGAAACAATTATTTTAGGAGGAGTTGTTTGATTCCTTCTCTCTCTTCCATTTTCCCTTCCTCTGCCTCTCCCTCCCCTCCTCTTCCTCCTCCTCCTCCTCCTTCACGTATCTTTAATGGTGTATTTTGCTGTTGTTTGTTTCTCTCTGTAGCCATCTATCTTTGCAAGAGGACCATGCAGAATAAAGCTAGACTGGAACTGGCAGATTATGAAGCAGTGGGTATATTGATTTTATAGTTCCAAAGTGTTATAACCTCAAAATTGAATGTCATTTGATATATAGGCAGCATCATTGTCTAAAAAGACTGCTATTAGATTATATTTATTCAGAAATTATGTAGATTTAAGGGCAATATCAGAAAGAAACATGCTTTCCTTTTTGAAGGGAGAAGGCATATGTTTTATTTATATTATGTCAGGGAATTTAAGGCAGTTTACATAGAAGTCTACCCCTAATTTTATTCCTGCACAACAATGCCTTACGGAAGATGGGGACAGGGTGGGAAGAGTAAAAAAACCAGTCAGTTGTGTGGTTGAATGTGGACTTGAATTTGGATACTTTGCTGTAAGCAAGCACCATAGCTTTTTATTAAAAAAATGTTTATGAAAAATTTCTGCTCATTCTGCTTCATTCCCCTTTACAAATGTGCCCATTCAAGAAAAAAAAATCACTCTAATTTACCTATAAATGAGGCTCACTGAACAGTTTCTTAAGATACTCAGGATGTTTCCACATAGATAACTCTGGTTCTTTCATCGTTTCCCACAAGATCTGGGGAAAATATGTGCACTAAATGATTTTAAGTTTTCTTTATTGGAGTGAGTAGTTCTATAATACTGCTTCAAAGGACTAAAGCATTACCAGAGTATAATGGTATATTTTTAATACTATTTAAAATAAAAATAAAACCATTCAGTTGCTGCTTGCTAAAATGCTAGAAACTCTTAAGAGTCTATTCTGCCCCTTTTGCATTATATGAAAATGTATGTCTATAATGTGATATAATTTTCATGGAGTATAATTATACTATTCAGTGTTGATTCAGATGGATATGGTGACTGTAGACCCTATTGATTGATGGCATCACCTCCTACCAATGCAAAAATTTGGAAATATTTGGAAAGAAGAAAAGCCTTAGTGGCCCCTATTTGGCCTTGGCCAAAGCCACTTGTGATTATATTAGTTATATAATATATAAATCTATACCCATTGTAATGTATAAGCCTACTCATGTCAACCGTCCCATGTGGCACATTCAACCAAAGAAACTCTCAGCTCTTTTAATTTACGAAGAGTGTAGCTTTATTGAAAGACCCATGTACAGTATGTACAGCAGAAGCAAAGTCAGTTCTGGGATTGTTCCCACAAAAGCCCCATAAGTAAACCTCCTCTTTTCCCCCTTCTGGACCATCCAAACTTCATAGTTTATTGATTGGGTTTAGTTCTTTTTTTTGGGGGGGGGAAGATTGTCTGTGCCACTCAAACATTTCATAACTTGACCTTGTTGTCAGAGTCTCACTGGCAAAAAGGAGGCAATCTTGCATTCCGGGCCTTTTCTCCCTCCTTAGGCATTTGCCCTCCCCTTGCTGTTTGGCAAAATGCAAGTGACAGTAGGTGCAACTATGGAGTTGAGTCAGGTCTGACAACTCAACACATTCAGATTATTAGGTAGATTCAAAATATGGTTATTAATTGCACTGACACTTCTTTTAAGGCAGGGGTGTCAAACTCAATTTCATTGAGGATCGCATCAGCATTGCAGTTGCCCTCAGGGAGCCAGATGGGTGTGGCCAGCATGGGTGCGGCCTATTGGGTGGGCGTGGATGGAGTGGTGTGGCGTACTGGGTGGGTGTGGCCAGCTCTACATCATTTGCATCAAGGGTGCCTGTGGGGGCCTGGGCAGGAGTGGGATAGATCTGAGGGTCTCTGGCAGAAGGGGGTGGGACTGGGGCAAGTGCCAAGGCATGGTCCACTGGAGGAGCCTCACTGTTCCTCTCAGGCCATGCGGGGGGGGGGGGCTTATGGAGCTCTACATTTAGGCAAGAAAAATCAAATGCACAGGTACAGTATAGGTGCTATTTTGCTCAGTAGTAGGAACTGTGAGAGGGATCTTGGCATCCTGGTGCACAATCACTTAAATATGAGCCAGCAGTGTGCTGCAGCTGCCAAAAAACCCCAACACAGTGCTAGGCTGCATTAACAGAGGGATAGAATCAAGATCACGTGAAGTGTTAATACCACTTTATAACGTCTTGGTAAGGCCACACTTGGAATACTGCATCCAGTTTTGGTTACCACGATGTAAAAAAGACTCTAGAAAGAGTATAGAGAAGAGCAACAAAGATGATTAGGGGACTGGAGGCTAAAACATATAAAGAACGGTTGCTAGAATTGAGTATGTCTAGTTTAATGAAGAAAAGGACTAGGGTTGACATAATAGCAATGTTTCAATATCTCAGAGGTTGCCACAAAAAGAGGGAGTCAAGCTATTCTCCAAAGCGCCTGAAGGCAGGACAAAAAGCAACAGATGGAAACTACCGTAAATGCCGGCGTATAAGACGACTTCTGCAAGCGCTGAAATCGGCGCCAAAGACGGGGGTCGTCTTATACGCCGAGTCGTCTTATACGCTGGAAATACTGGTAGTTTCCGGCGTATAAGACGACATTCTAGGAATGCGGCCCGGCTATAAAGACGGGGGTCGTCTTATACGCCGGGTCGCCTAATACGCCAGCATATATGGTAATAAAGGAGAGAAGCAACCTAGAACTAAGGAGAAATTTCCTGACAGAACAATTAATAAGTGGAACAATCTTCCTCCAGAAGTTGTGAACGTTCCAACATTGGAAGTTTTAAAGAAGAGACTGGACAACCATTTGTCCGAAATGGTATAAGGTTTCCTGCCTGAGCAGGGGGTTGGACTAGAAGACCTCAAAGGTCTCTTCCAACTCTATTATTGTCATTGTTAATGCTATATAACACAAAAAGCTCTTTTTAAAAACACCAATTCTTATGGCTGGAATAGAACTGGTTTTGCTTCTTTCTGTGCCACATCCTTTCTCTCCCACATGTTAACTCTTATTTAACATTTTTAATGTAAATTCGTTGCATTTCAAAAGTATGGCTTGTATTATGCAGTAGGCAGTGAATTTCACATTTCAATACTTAAGGTCTTGCTTCAGGTTGTTGGGCATCTGGATTCTTCTGGGGAATTGTACTAGCCTAAAATCTTCCTGCCAATAATTCAAAGCATTCAGTTTACACACTTTGTACATAATGGATTTGTATCTTCAATGGCAAATTCAATATTTCACTATCCCACTGTGATGCCTGAATCAATTATTTTTATCCACCCCTGTCAACATATCACATTAGATAAGAGACTTCTGTTAAATGATTGTGGTTTATCTGTATTGCCATGGTTTAGATCACTGCATCAGCAGAACATAGCAGCCTTCCCAGCCTGGGGCCCTCCAAATGTGTTGCGATTACATTTTACAGAATTCACAGTACTTTTGAAAGGCTGCAAGTATGAGAAGGCTAATGTTTAAAAAAAGAGTGAGCATTACATGGACACATAATGATTAAACAACATGGGAACGAAGCATGGCGCTTTTCAGATAGGTGCAAATCACTTGAAAATTGGGTACATTTAAAAGTCCACTGAAGTTAGTAAGGACTTATTGGAATTGCCCCCATGAGATCAGTGAGACAATAGAGATGCCATTTTCATTATATATAATAATGCATGGGGATCACCATAAGGATCATAGGAGTTATCTATGAGGGAGGGAAAAACCCTAAAAGAATAAAACTGGTTCAAGGTTCAAAACATCAAGAAATGTACGGACATGAAGTACGAATCCCATTAATTCATTCTCCTGTATCCAGTGAAAATTCTCTTCCTGGCATTTCCCTCATTACTTCAATTTTCAGTTTAATGGGATCTGGATAATAACCAGATTTCCTCATGGTGATTCTTTTGATTGTTAGCTCTCCTTACTCTTGTGTTGTTGTTTTGCTGTTGTTGTTTTTCTCTTCTTTTAGGAGAACTTAGCAAGACTTCAGAGAGCTTTTGCCAGAAAGTGGGAATTCATCTTTATGCAAGCTGAAGCACAAGTCAAGTAGGTGTTTGCAGTAAAACAAGTCAGATGATTGAAAATTGTGATGATACTGAATACATGGTAATGATGAAATATATTATTTCAGGCTTATACTTTAAGGTTAAATTGTCTTCCCACAACTGAAAGTATTTCTGTAGCTTACTTTCCACTTGGTATTAGAAAAGTTTTAATCTCTTGGCCACCCAGGCAGCCTCATTCATAAACCCCACTCCCTCCCACCCCTTAGGGTGAGAATTCTTTGAGAAAACACAGCCGCAACTTGGCTGGCATATTGGAGCCAGCTATGCTGACTCAGGAATTCTGGGAGTTGAAGTCCACAAGTCATAAAAGAGCCAACGTTGCCTACCACTGGGTTAGATCAATCCATAGAATAAGCACGGAACACAGGTAGTCCTTGACTTATGACCATAATTGGAAATGGAAAATTTGTTATTAAAGTGGTGCCATCATTAAGAGAAGCATCACAAGGCTGTACCTGATTTTACAATCTTATTTCTCTATAGTCATTAAGCAAGACATCATATGACCAAGACTTGAGACCTCCTGCTGGCTTCCCCACTGAGTTTGCTTGTTCAAAACCAGCTGGGAAGGCTGCAAATGACAATCAGATGACTCTGGGATGCTGCAACCATCATAAATACCTGCCAGTTGCCAAGCACCCAAAGTGCAATCAGGTAACCACAAGGATGCTGCAATGGTCATAAGTGCAAGGACTACAAAATGTTACCTATGTAAAAAAAGAAGAAAAGGAAATACTGTTGAAATACCGAAAGACATGGAGGACATTATATCAAACCCATTCTCTGCCCCCCAAAATATGTATTTGAGCTTTGAACATCATTTTGCCAATTAAAACTGGAGTCTTCTCTCTACTTCACTAAACCTTTAGTGGCTTAATCCACTGATTCAGCCATGCAGTACACTGATCACAAGTAAGTGATGTTGCTACAGATTACTTTATTAACATAAAAATTAAAAAAAGAATTAAATTTAATTTGAGTCTTGCTGTCTTCAGTATTTATTTATTTTTAGCAATATAAATATAAATTTTTATAAAGCAATTGGAACACTGCATGTCAATGCGCACACACATGTGGTATGTTTCCTCTGTTGTAATTCATTCCATGGCCTTTCTGCTCTGACAGGTTTTTTTCCCACTACTATCCGCTGGGCATCCCTAAAACCTCAGGCAACATTAAATGAGCTGCATTAATCAGTGTCAACCACATGGATAAGAGTGGATGCTGATTATTAAACTCTTGCTGCTAAAGCTGTTCGATTTATGGGCCTAATTTTAAGAGGGTTTAACTGTTGTGGCTATCACATAGCCTGTAATTCCTTTCTAGGATGTCAACATTTTGGAGGAAGGGATGGCATAAATAGTTAGTTCATATTCACCTTTGATTGCTATAACAAGTATAATATATATCCAGTAAAACTATATGGTCACTTGGTTGAATTGGGTGGCTATGGAAATTGAATAAATAAATAAAATAAAATTTAGCCCTAGCTTAATTGCTGTGTTTCTCCATGTTACTCCAAATGGAGGCTGTATTTAGTCTGGGTGTATTTTTATTCACCACTAAAACTAATTTCAGGCTTTAGTTTAAAACTCTTAGCTATATGTGCAAAGAATTGACTCTTGGAGGGATGGAGGGATGGAGGGATGGATGGGTGGGTGGGTGGGTGGAGGGATGATTATACAGTAGAAAAACTATATTTTTGGTATAAAATTTTAGATGGGTATTTTTTGCAAAACTTAAATAGCCCATTGGTTGTACTGGTAGTTCTCTTCTAGTGACTGCCTCTCTTCTAGTGACTGTTCACAGTTGCGACAGTGGTGAAAAAGTAACTTTGTAACTAGTCCTCAGATTTATGACCATTTCTGTAAAGCAAAGGAAAGTTTAGCACAGTCACAGTTTCATTTAGTGTCCAATTTGCTTAGCGACCAAGTTGCCAATCCCAATTGTGGGATAAGGACTATCTGTATTCACACTATATATGTTGAGCCAAATTAACCAACCACATTTTAGCCTAAGGTCCTGAGCAACCCTGTACAGGAATGTGATTAATTGTAAACTGGACATGCAAATACAGTATGATGGAGAGAGGGGTGTAGTTTGAACTGTATGGCAAGATACTCTGTTATGCATGATTTTATTAACTAAAAATTCATAATGAAGACTGATATGAATACTCATACAAATCAGATCGCACCCAAAAACTGCTTTTGGTTCTATTTATTGGACCAATTTGTTGGTTTTTTTTTTTTTTTTTTTTTTAGAATTGACAGAAAAAAGGATAAGACAGAAAGGAAGATTCTGGATAGTCAAGAAAGAGCTTTCTGGGATGTTCATAGGCCAGTGGTAAGATTCACTGATGCGTTACTCTTTTATAATCAGCTAATTATAAAACATCTGGAGGCACAATGGTGATGTATCTGTATTTTGGGCAATCTTTTCAATCTAATGGCCACCAAGTAAGTCAGAATTAGTTGGGGATACTACCTCTTTGGCACAGCCTAGCAAGCCATTCTTAGGGCATTATCACTTCCAGATCCTATTCTGTGCTTCCACTATCCTTCTTGGTTTCCTCTGCTAGTAGATACCGTGCCAAATCATATAAAAACAGTATTGAAAACTACGATTATCAAAATAATGATCCACGCATGGTGATGTCATCATACGGATGCTGTTATTATATCTTGAGATCTGAAGCATATTCTGCTGCAAAACGTTACTCCCATGTCTTCACCTTTAGATGAGCTGGCAAACAAACCTGTTAACCATAGTAAGGGAAATGGATGAGAGCCAAGATATTAAACCAAAGTTTAAAATTGATTTATCCTGCCTAATTTTGAAATTGTTTATAATACTTTCTATATTTGGACAAAATGGAAATTGTATTCCAGTAAATGATTTCTTGATTTGTTGATTGGTTCAAGTATTGGATTTGGCTTAAAATAGCAATTCCAGGAAGAGAAAAACAAATGAGATCTAAGAAAGTTATTTGATGCTGGAAATAGACAAATTAAGGATATTTGATGCTGAAAATAGGTCTAATTAAGGATATTCTTCCACTATTGATTCTCATTTATATGAGTACATAACGTTTAACTATCTTGTCCTTTGTTATTAAAGTGTTTATCCAGCTCATGAAGTTTGATTGTTTCTTTGATAGAACAATAAAGACATAAATCAATAAAATGTGAACTGCAACTGCAACTATGAGTTACCATTAATTTGAGCAATACTGTGCAAGCTGGAAGGAAGTCCTGTTTATTCTCAAGGAATCAATTATTTTTTTTGTCCATTTTTCCATCACACAAATGATAGAAAGTATGAGTGAATATCTAAGGTATTATTTGCTGAACTATGACTTACATAGGTTATTATATTTCAGCTGCCCAATTCCGAATGATCATTAGATGACAGCAAAAAGACTAGTAGTTGTCTGAATTTTGCAAACTAGCTATAAGCCCCAGTTAGTTCAGAAAGCAAAAAAAAAAGCAAATGATGAAGGTTTAGCACAATATATGAACCTAGCTATTATATAAAAGGTTCAAACGAGTAGTTTATCTCCAAAAATTAAGTGGAGAAAGCAAATGGTTATGATCTGAATAGCACTGAATTTTGGCAAAGTGCATCCAATGACAATATATGCCCTGGAAACAGAAAATAGATACATTCACTCTTCCATTGAAATAAGCCTCATTGAAAGCTAATTTGTGCTGTATTAGCCTGCTGTGATTTTTAAATGAACTTCCAAATATTAGATTAAAAATTGCACCATAAGTCAGAGTTTGAAATCATTGTTCTGTAGAAAATGAAAGGCAGTACAAACATTAAACAAGATTAATATTTTTGTATGTGGGTTTTTTCCTAGCCGGGCTGTGTGAATACAACAGAGATGGACATCAGAAAATGTCGGAGAATGAAGAATCCACAGAGGGTCAAAAAGGCGAGCCTCTTCTTCTCTTCTCCAAAGAACCTGTAAAACATGCTAGATGAGATTTTTATGGGATACATTTAGTGATGATCTATATTAAGAAGACAGTGACATCAGCCTAATGAAAAATAATTCTCACTTCAGGCAAATGTTTATAAATCTTTATGGACTGGCATGAAATTATTATTTGACGTTATACAAAGGCCTTTGAGGTAAACCTAATGCTAGGTGGGCAGGAGCTAGGCAAAGATGGGCACTCACCTCATTGCATGATGCTCGGGTCTTGAACCCGGATTGTCGGCTTTCCAGCCGACAAGCCGAACGTCCTAACCACTGAGCCATTTCCTCCTTCATTTTTCTATCTACTCTTTCATTAGAGAATGCATTGTTCATCTTCCTTTTGAATTAATGCTATCATTAGTCATTTAAGGATGTGAAACCTCTCTCTACTGGTGATCACTCTTATGTACCAAATTATTTTCAACTTTTTATTGCAGTCAGTTTATGGAGTTACAGAAGACAGTCAGTCCCAAAGTCCTGCACATGTACCTTCCCAGCCAATTCGCAAAACAACAAAAGATGACGTCCGAAAGCAAGTAAGCTCAATGGCTTTGAAACTGCTTCTTTTGCATTTGAGAAATGGATTGATTTTTTTTAAAGTATTTCTGCAGATGTGGGACATAATTTTGAGTAAATAAGATGTTAGAAATGTATTCCTTCCGATAATTACACTTATGAGGAGGGAGGATTTATCTAGTAAATCAGCTGAACCATATCCTTCATCCTCCTTGCCATCTTCCTTTTGGTTCGGCATAGTTTATACCAGAATAATGAAGTTGGAAAGCCTTGAAGATCTTGGACATCTGCAACATAGAGAAGAACAAACTTACTTAAAGTTGAGGGGGGAAATGCCCTCCAAATATAGAGCAGAATGCTTGGATACATTGGTTTAGAGTCCATATCTTTCAATATATTATGATGCGAATTGTGTAAACCATCAAATAAAATTACTGGATAGACATGCAGCTACATACAGTTGTTTCTTCAAGAGCTGTTTTCATTTCTTTTCTTCAGATATTATTTCTGAACGTTCAGATAGACAGGCATTGTTTAAAAATGTCTAAAGTAGCAGAAAGGTAAGCACTCCAATTCATGTTATTATCACTGTTGTTGCTATTTTTCCCTCCAAGATTTGCAAAAACATGTTTTCAGACCTCAGGAATTAGTTGCTGGTATATGCATGCTTTCTCCCATTAATATACTGTATGCTGACTTAATAGATTATTTCAACAGCTTGATACTGATTTGCAAACATGTTTTAGAGAGTTGGCTCAAACTAGGACTTTCTATTTTATGTCCAGTATATTCTATTATAGGAGGTGTCTATATTGCTGTTTCAAAACAATCATATAAATCAGGGCAGTTGAATTCTTATGTTCTTAAACAAAATTACCAGTTTCCCTTATTGCCTTCTTGAGATATAAGATTAATAAAAAGCTTCTACAAATAACAAAAATGCAATTTAGAATGACAGTCTAAGGTTGTTTTCATACGTCCCATGCACAATCCACGCAACTCAACAGACTTTTCCATCATCTTGAAATAATCGGCCCATTACAGCTAAGCTTTGATGAGAGAAAAATATAAGATAAAATCAAAGCCAGCAGACAAAACAAAGTTGGATGGAACATCAAACTATTGTTTACTGTCATGTACATGAATGTCAGACTGGTTAAACTGGTTGTCCCTCCCTTTTCCACACTTTGTCTTGTGGATGCAAAAAGATCTGACCAAAGTATTCACTTGGACACTGGTTCTTCTAACTAATGCTTTTTAAAAATATGACCTCAGCCATAAACCTGGCATATTTGTCCACTAATCACAAAATCTCATCCTAGCTGGACTATTTGTGTATGTACTGCATCCCTTGAATTGTTAGGTAGATACATAAGTATAGATACAGCAGCTTGAACTGGAACAACCTCTGGTGTCTGGTATGCAAAATGGCATGTTAAACTGCTCTGAATTCATTTTGTTAAGCTGTAAATATAGTTAACCTACATTTCAGCATGTCAATATTGACATAACATGAGCATTGTTTCCTGTGCTGTACTTTATTAATTCTAATAAACAGGATCAACATAAACTAATTATTTCTATAAACTAGCAATTGGAGCTCTGCAAAATGAGCTAGGGATTTCAAGAGTGCAAGTTTCTGTATTTATTCGCTTACAGCTATTGGATATGCACAATTAAGAAAACAAATGTGCTTGCTGGCCTTTTGCCGTAGTAAGAATCCGTTCGTTCAAACAGTAAATGTGAAAATGTAATAGAAGAACAAAGAAAATCATACACAAGCAAAAACAAATGACACCACACCACAATCAAATGAATTAATAAAACCAGCAAGAAGGAAACTTTAATGCAGCAAAGCTAAACCAACATGAATCCTTAAATGTTCTTTAAAGAGTCTTCAGATGTCTGATGGATTCACAAATGATTGAAATAAACCATTTGCATTGAAATACCATTTGCATTGTTCTTGCCATTATTTTTAATTTCCTGCAGCACTTACCATTGCATTAGAAAACGTTCCATTCACAGTGGCATTGTTTGTGCAGTTCCTATAGTCTTTCCAGATAACGGTGCCTTCATTCCTTCATGTCATGGTTCCGATAGATGAAACCCATCAAAAGAACTTCAAGGCAAAAATTCTTCCTTAAAGAACATTTTATTCAGGAAACAAAGTATCGGCACTACATAGTTATACCCAAAAACTAAATTGCACAAAGTGCAATTCCCACCCACACTAAGCTGTCATAAATCACATTCTCGAATTAGCCTAAAACACGGGCTTTCTCCCCAGCTCCTCAGCCCGCCACAACATTATCAGCTTATCCTTGGGTTCCCACAAAGCAGTGTTATTACTATGGCTAGCTGAAGTCGAGCTTTCATCCCAACCCTCCCTTCTGCACCTGATTTCTAAATACCAGAAAAAGCATGTTAAAAGAAAAGAGAAAATGGCTGCAATTTTCATCAGTTAGAGCGTTGACACCCACCCACCCCATTTTCCCCCCATTGCTTCAGTTGCTGCATACTGTATATCCCAAAGTGAAAGCTTTTCCCTCTTCTGACTCCTAATTTGTAGTGGTTGTGAGATGCAGTTAATGAAATGAGATCAGATGGTAAGGGGCCAAAGGACCCTGAGGCTGAATTGCTAGAACTTCTGTTAGTTATAAAACATTGTGATTCTGATGCTTGGTGATATAACATCATCCTTTCCATGACAGATTCATGAGAAAACAACTTCTCACTAGCAGCCATGGGGTTTTTTATTATTACCGTAAATGCCAGCGTACAAGGCGACCCCCTTATACGGCCCGGCGTATAAGACGACCCCCGTCTTTATAGCCGGGCCGCATTCCTAGAACGTTGTCTTATATGCCGGAAACTACCAGTATTTCCGGCGTATAAGACGACTCGGCGTATAAGATGACCCCTGTCTTTGGCGCCGATTTCAGCGCTCGCAGAAGTCGTCTTATACGCCGGCATTTACGGTATTTTCAAATATATAGAGATACAAAATACATTTAAAGCATTTAAAAACTTTCACAGTGTGCTTGTTTTTCTTTTTCATATTACAGTTTAATTGCTTATTCAGAGCAGTACACTGATTATGATCCCTTTATAACTCCTGTGGAACCTTCCAATCCCTGGATAAATGATGACAGTATATTTTGGGACTTAGAAACAAGGTAAAAAAACCAACCCACTCTTTAAAGGATACTTCATTCTGTTCTGTATTTAGAAGCAAAGACTACCAGATGTGTGTGACAAAAACTCAGATGTGTACTAGATGGCTTCAAGAAGTTGAAATGTTCTATAGGACTTTATTGCTTCCAGCAAGCAATATCTGGTAAACCTACACCAGATCTCTATGACATAACAATGACAAGTTGTATTAGAAGACTTGGTATGACCAAACCAAATGTCCTTTGACCCCACCCTTGCTAGAACTCTCTCTTTCTTTCTCTCTCTGGGACCATTTCACTATGCTATTACGACATTTGCTGTCATTTTATTCTGAACTTTTCAAAGAATATGAAAGGTATGACAATATTCATATGCACAAAATGCTTTTTTTTTGCAGAAAATAAGCCCAGAGACATTTATGGCTTGTCATGTCTTATTAGCTGTCATTATAGAGAAGTGCTTTAAAAACAAACTGTAACCTTGGTTTGTTATACATTAGCTAAATAAGCTATCTTCTGAACTAATGGTTAGTTTATGCTTATGGTTTTATTTTAAAAACAAAGGTGACCAGAGAGTAAATCTGTTGGAATACCAACCAGAATTATGACTAAAAGCTCTAACTGGCTGGGCTCCCTCATCTGTGAAACTTTGATGGGTGAATACTTTAACCATGGTTAACATTAAGTCATGTTTAACATGCTGTGTCAGGATGATTTATATAAGATTAAATCTAAAGACCTTGAGGGCATGTTCGAGGCACAGAATGCTCCCACTGCAAGAAAATTTAATGTGGTCCCACACCCTCAGACCCTGAGAAGTCAGTAAAAGTTATTTGCCCATTTCCATGAGGAAGAACTACACTGATCAAAGACTTCACAATCCATAGAACAGCAATTCTATATCCATGTAATATAGCATACTATATTTATGATATTTAACATCCACCTTTTATTCGTAAGTACTACCTAGTCCAGGGGTAGGCAACCTTGGCTCTTTTATGACTTGTGGACTTCAACTCCCAGAATTCCTGAGCCAGCCATGGAATTCTGGGAGTTGAAGTCCACGAGTCATAAAAGAGCCAAGGTTGCCTACCCCTGACTTAGTCAGTGTGTTTCTCTTTTCAATCATTCTAAAAAGGAAACACATCATCCCTTTTCATACATGCAGATTCCTTTGCTCTCAGAAATCAAACAGGTGTTTGCAAGCATTTTCTCCAGTTTCGTTAATGTATTGCTGCAAACAGTTTTCAGTTGAGCCATTCCAAATGAATATTTGAAGATTTGACAAGGAAAAATATGCTGATGGCCGCAATGGTTTCCTCTCTGTCCTTTTACGTAGCAAAGAGCCTTCGCAGCATCGGGTCAAGAGATGGGGCTTCTCTATAGATGAGGTGTTGAAAGATCCTGTGGGGCGTGATCAGTTTCTTCGATTTTTGGAATCAGAATTCAGTTCTGAAAACCTCAGGTGAGAAGTTGGAGATGCAGCACTCTAGTGCAGGGGTTCTTAACCTTGGCAACTTTAAGACTTGTGGACTTCCAACTCCCAGAATTCCTCAGCCAGCTTTGCTGGCTGAGGAATTCTGGGAGTTGAAGTCCACAAGTCTTAAAGTTGCCAAGGTTGAGAACCCCTGCTCTAGTGGTTGGGGGTTTCACACAAGGGAAGCATTCACTGGCCTCAAAAATAAGGACTGAAGGGAGAATACTGGAGGGTTCACAAGGAAGAAATTTAACCCTGGTCTATAGATTATTTAATTAATTTATATCCCACCTTTATATCCAGCTTTAGATTAGTTGGCTGAGTGTCATCAAGTCAGACTTGACTTCAGATAACCCCAAGGACAAGTGCTTCCCAGTCTGGTGTCTCTCCAGTAATACCCTATAGCACTTCCAAGGGCTATTTAGAGAGTCACAGAGTCTAAAATATTTGCAACCATCCTTATTCAAGGATATTTTGGTGGGATTTGGAAAGAAAGGAAAGAAAGGAAGGAAGGAAGGAAGGAAAGAAGGAAGGAAGGAAGGAAGGAAGGAAGGAAGGAAGGAAGGAAGGAAGGAAGGAAGGAAGGAAATGCCTTCCCAACCACCAAGAGGTTTCTAATAGCTTGAAAATGGCTAATAGGCAATTTCTGAAAATGATGAGAAAGTGAGGTTTATGAACTTAGTGGCCTTTAAAGGGATTCGCTGTGGTGATGAGCAAGGTGACTAATATCTTTGTCTCCCAGCTCTCAGACTCACAGAAAAGTGCTATCCTGTGGTCTCCTCATGAAGACCAGCTGTCCAGAGCACATGTGGTCAATCTTCCATCCTCTCCTTGTCTGGAAAGGTTATTTGCTATGATCTGCTTTTGCAGAAGTACTGTATCTTTAGTTTGCCACATCTCCCCCAGAGGTTCCCAGCCACTAAAAGATTTCTGTGGATATTCACAAGATGCAGCGTTTCATGTAAAAGTCTATTTTTCACAATCTCAGTCATTTCTCTATTACGGGTTATCTTTCAATGGTGAAAAGTACTTTTCTCCTGATAAGCTGGGTTCCACATTAAAATTATAGTTCGTTCACTTGAATCCCTTCTTTGATGGCCATTGTCAGCAAAAGAATTGGATGGTGCCAACATCTTCCATGTATCAAGAAACATGGTCAAAAGAAATTAGAGGCATCTGATGGTGCCTTTTCAGCAAATAATTTGCAGAAGGAATGTTGATTACTTGCCCTCATAAAGAAAGCACAATTGACATATGTAACAGACATCTTAAAATCCCATCTAAGGTTTTCTTTAAGCCTCATTGAAATGCATGCAGCTTGTGTATGTCAGTCCGATCTGTACTGTGACCATAGGAAGAAACAGTGGAATTTTGTATACTCACTAGCTGTATGCACACAACGTGTTAATCAAGTCAATTACAAACCCAGTGACTGCATTTATTCAACATGCTAAGCTTGCTTAACTTTAGCATTGGTTAGATTTTGGTAGCTTGGTGTGCTATATGAGTGGAGGATAATCCATCAGTTTATAGTTTGGGGCATAGATCAGAAAATGGGAGATTTCAGTAACCATATTAACTTGTGCAAACACAGACTCTGAATCGAATTCTAATTCACAGACTCGACACAGGCCATTTCTCTGTTGATTGCAGGACCTTCTTTATTATTGTCAGCATTAAGTCATAAGAGACTGACAACTCAGCCCTCTTATTTAGCCAAGGCAGATGTTCTGAAGGTACAGGCAGAATATATCCTGTGGATCAGAGGTCCCCAATCTTTTGAGCACCAGGGACCGGATCCATGGAGAGAGCTTTTTCTGCGGACCAGAGGGGGCGTGGTTTCATGTATTGTCTGCATCCCGCGGATGAGGCTCTGCTTGTTTGCGCGGACCAGTTTCTGGCATGCTGCAGCCTAGTGCCAGTCTACCGCTGCTGTGGATCCTCCAAACTTCAGTTAAGGATGCAGGAAGCTCAGTACATCTGACCATGGGTCCATTTAGCTCAAATATGCCAGCACTGGATGTCAGCCGCTCAGCAAGAGCCTTACCTGGAAATGTTGGCAATTCAGTTGCGATCGTTTCCATGCAAGAGGCATGTTTTGTCACTGAGCCATAGCCTTGCAGGCCATTTGTATATGGCATACTGGTAGTCCTCAACTCACGGCCACAGTGGAGCCCAAAATTTCTGTTGCTGAGTGAGACATTCGTTAAGTGAGTTTTGCCCCATTTTAGGACCTTTCTTGCCACAGTTGTTAAGTGAATCACTGCAGTTGTTAAATTAGTAACGCGGTTGTTAAGCTTCCCCTATTGACTTTACTTGTCAGAAGGTGGCAAAAGGTGATCCCGTGACCCCCTGGACATTGTGACCATCATAAATATAAGTCAGTTGGTAGGCATCTGAATTTTGATCACGTGACCACAGGGATGCTGCAACGGTCATAAGTGTGAAAAACAGTCATAAGTCACTTTTTTCAGTGCCGTTGTAACTTTGAACGACTATTGTAAGTTGACTATCTGTAATTGGGGCTGCACAAACTTAAGTTCTTTCTCTCTCATTTTGTTCTCTTATTTACCCCTTTAGTTTAATTTTGACTCTTAGCAATAGCAATAAGAGGAGTGCTTTTTAAATGTCTCTATATCTGTGCAGCGAGAGTGTAGATACAATTTTCTAAATGAAGAAACTGAGGACTGGAGCAAGAAGATTAGTTTTCTTCTCTTCACTGCAGAATGGACCCTGTTTATGTCTACAACTTCTGTATCCATTGTGGTCTTTCTCAAAATATGTTACAAGGACATCCTGGGAGTTCCCCAAGACCTCCCTCCCTGGTGGTATGCAAAATCAATTTTTTGCCAGCTTTTGTTGAAAAATAATACAGTATCAAATCCCATCAAACACTCATGAGAAGTGATAGTGACAATGAATGCACCAATTTCAACTTTAAGTGCATTAACCGATGGAATGACGTGCCTTCTTTGCTGGAGGCTTTTAAGAAGAGACTGGACAGCCAGTTGTCTGGAATGGGATATCCTGTTTGAGCAGGGGGTTGGACTAGAATACTCCCAAGATTATTCCATTACCTTCTGTTAAATATTGATAAATATAACCCCATACAAAAAAGAGCTTTTTTGATGTCTTTCAAAAATTTAAAAGTTGTAACAGATCTTAAAAGAGAGAAAAAAACTTTTAAGAAATACCACACTAGAACAAATAGAAACAGATATGAGACTGCACAATGTGTGTTTTACGTATGATAAAATTTACACTGGTGGTTAAAGTGTTAGACTATGAGCAAGGAGACCTGAGTTCAAGTCCTGCCTTAGACATGGAAGCCGGTTGAGTGACTTTAGGTCTGTCCACTCTCTCAGACTCAGGGAAAAAGGTATTAGCACACTAGTTCTGAAAATGGTAACCAAAAAACTACCCATGTAGTTATCAAGATCCAGTAGTGATGTAACGGAACCTAGCCATAAGACCATGATGCTAGAGATTGGATAGCTTTGCAGGAGCTATAATTTGTCATAATGATGAAATCCCAGATACATTGTCTCAGTAAAGACCCAGGCATGCTTCCTCACAAAGATAGGAAGTTGCCCAGTTAGAGGTTAGTAGAAGTAGTTCAAGCTAAGTTTATCAGAGCTCTGCTCCCCACAGGAACATCTAATGTGATCTCCAGAACTGAAATTGTACAAAAGAGGCTTGAATTAAGAGCTTGGCTATAAAGGATTATCATCAGCTCAAGTATAAATGGGGCATAGTATCTTCCCTTCAGTGTGACTACGGGGTCCCACGTCAAACTACAGATCACACCGTGACCAGCTATAAGCTGAGGGCATAGTATCTGATTTTTTAAAATAAAATGATGCTGTGCCTCAATGATGAGTTGGCCTAGACATTGTTATTTGAATATAGATCTTTTAAACATTTGTATTTTATGGTGTTTTACTAATCTAGATGAAATGTTAGTATATATTTCTAGTCCATATATGATATGCCATATGCTAAATAAATAGCAGCTCAAGTGCCGTTCTTTTCCAGCTGGACTGATTCCATCCATCCAATCTGGTAAATTTCAACTGTTATGATCACAGATCATAAATTTATTGTGTTTACACAATTTACACAGTAAATTTCAACTGTTATGATCACAGATCATTCTCAAAAATACCTTTCTTCTTGTGGACTTTCTTCTGAGTGCTAACAATTTCTTGAATTCACTCAGGCTAAGAGAAAATTTAGAGAGCAGATCCTGCACATTATCTCAATGAAAGAGGTCTCCTTCCTAAATCTATCTCAGCATGGTTTAATCACCCCAGGTGGGAAACCGCTAATTATATCAATTCATTCATCTCCCCTTCGCAAAGTTGTTTTTTAGGACTAGCTTCAGCAGCCTTCTTTCTTCGCCACTTTTGTATGGGAAGTCTTGCATAAATAAGGCATAAGAGATAGAAGTGACGGGGTTGACAGGTTGGCTATAGAGATTCAGCTTACATGTGAGACAGATTACCAGTACCTTATCAATTAACAATTCCAATGTGTTAAGAAAAATCATTGTGTTTCTTGAGACAGAAGGTTGCTGGACTCACACCAAAAGATTGCATCTTAGGCAATCTTTTGGTGTGAGTCCAGCAACCTTTTGCTCAATGGTGGGTGATATGGTGATATAGTTCAGTTTTCCAAAATAGTCTCTTTGAGGTCTGCTGTAGAGTATCCTGGGAGATCGAACTACTCTGATACAGCTCTGCCCTTGTTTTGAGTCCTAATGTCAAAGGTGTCCTTTAATTATTGTGTACAACATTTGTCCTACATAGAACATAGACTTGAGGGTTCTTTGGTATTCTCTGAGCTTGGTTGTTCGCTTGCAGACATTTCATTACTCAAATTAGGTAACATCAGTGTAGTGCTAGAGAGTGCTAGAGAGACTTTGCTGGCAGATAATGTTATATATCACATTAGAGAAAAATCACCTGTAATCTTGTATGCGCATTTGT